GGTTTAAGGTTTAAGGTGTAGGGTTAAAGAGCCTTTGATTGCCCAGGCCTTCCGCCAGAAGGCGCGGCAGACGCATCCGGACAAGCTTCCTCCAGACAGCTCGGAGGAAGCAAAGCTGCAAGCCAAGCAGCGATTCCAGCAGGCGGGACTACTACGGCGAGCCCCAGAAAGTTGGAANNGAACATGGGTTTTGGATGATTCGTGCTAGGATCCCATATATTTTACCTTAAGGGTTCTGGCTTCCACTGCAGAGGGGTCCGAATACTTTGCAGGAGTATTCTCTTTTATATACTATAATCCCGAAATATACTTCAAGTATAATGAACTTCGAGACGCCACTTTAATCATGAAGGACCCTTTTTTGCGGCGTGAAGCGGATGTGAGCTTTTGTTGTTGACTGTTGCAAGGGCCCAACATCTGTGTCCCAAACCCTAAAGCGAACCCCCGGCTCCCATGCCGTAGTAAAGGGGCCTAAATAGTAACCAATACTATTTTGGTGGTTCCTNNTTCTAATCATTAAAGCCCCTACCTTAAGTCGTTTAAAACTCCCCAGATAGAAGCCTCTGAGGTCACTTGGACAAGCCGGGTTTAGCCTGTAGGGCTTTAGGGCTTAGGATGCGGAGTTTGGGGTTCGGGGTTCAGGTGTCGGTTTGGGGCTGGTTTGGGGGGTTTTCTTGGTGGCCTTGCGATTCAGCTGTGCTGAGGATAAGACTAGGGCTTGGTGGTATCTTATACTATGATTAGATTAAAGAAAACCCCAAAGCCCTGTTTAGGGTATTTCGCCAGGATTACTCTGCAGGAAATGCCCTGAAGCTCAAAACCCTTCACCCGGCGCCCCGGCCCTACCATCACAGTATTAAGCCTCGTGTTTTGTTTGTAGTTGCTGTTCATTGCAAAACATTTGCTGTTCACACGATCTTTCCCATCATCCTTGCCATCGTGATCATCATCTTGATCATCATCACATCAGCAGCATCATCATCATCATGTTGGTGTTGATTATCGTTTCGTTGTTGTGCTCTGATTCTTGTACTCGTTGGCCAGCCAAAGTACATAGCAGTTCTCGATCGAATCAAGGAACGATATAGTTCCTTAGTTCCTTCCCGTGGTTTGGGGAAGCCAAGCCCGCAGACCCAAAATCCGGACAGTTTAGGGTTTTAGGGATTTAGGG